GCTGTGGGACAAGGTGGTGGGGCTGGCTCTGCTGTGGAAACCCTCAGTGCTCCCAGCTGCGGGCAGGGGCTCAGTGCCCTCCCCTCCTCCCTACAGGGCCGAGTTCAGGGCTGAGGTGCTGCAGAAGAAGCGGGAGGAGCGTCTGGGTGGGGAGAACTCCGCGGAGCTGCTGGAGGAGCACCGGCGCCTGATGGCCTGGAATGACGAGGAGAACGCCCGGCAGCGGGCACGCAGGTCAGCGGGATCCACTGCCCTGCATGGCTTTGGCTTCTGCTTGTGCAGATCTAACCTCAGTTAGAGCCAGGCTTAATTTTTATGAAGACCCTTGACCTAAATCTTGACCTTTTTTAATAAATCTGCCATCGCAGCGTTTCCTGCGCCTCTTGAGGTTGAGGGGCAAGTTAAGGGGCTCTGGGCAGCTTCCTGCTCTCCTGAGGATGGGAGTGTCACCTCGTTCATCAGGCTTTTTGTTTTCCTTTCTGTCTGGCAGAGAGGAGAGACTCAGGAAAGAAGCGGAGGAAGAGAAGAGGAGGAAGTTGGAGGTCGCGGAGAAGCAGGCCAGGAAAATGGAGGCTTTCATGAAGGAGAAGGAGCAGGAGGTTCTCCAGCTGCAGGTAAGAGCAGCTGGTACCTCCTGGGGGACAAGCTGCCAGCAGCCCCTGCAAGGGATTTGCTGGCAGCCCGTGGGAGCCACGTGGAAGCCGTGGGCTTGTTTTCCAGAGCTCTTTCACTCGGGAGAGTGTGTAGCTGGTAGCAAGGTGTTGGCGCCTTCCAGGGGCGCTGACAGCGCGTGGATGGGAGAGAGGCCAAGCGGGAGCTCTGGGAACGGGGCGGAATAATCCCTAGGGATAATCCTGAGGGGGTATAATGCTTGTCCTTGGTTCAGGAGGAAGCCAAAAGCTTCATCACCCCCGAGAACCTGGACGCGCGGATCGAGGAGTGCCTGGACAACCCGCGCAACTACAACTTCGCCATCGACAAGGACGGGCGGGTCGTCAAGCGCACGGTGCTGTCGTAGCAGCCCCAGGATGGGGCTCCTGGCCTGCTTTTGTGCCCAGAGCCTCCTCCCCAGAAGACCTGGAGTTCTTCTTTTTAATGTATAAATTGGCCACGGCAGTGTGGTGGAGAAAGGCTGCGGGGTCTGGCTGTGCTGCTTCCGAAGGGCGAACGCCGGCGGGAGGGGGGTGAGGGGGAAACTCGGGCTTGTTGGAGGCTCCAGCTCCCTGGCTCAGCCCTGTGTGGCTGTTGCTGTGCCTGTGATTCCACCTCCCACGTGTTTGGATCCCTCCTGCCTTCACACACAGCGTGTGGGGAGAGAAGCAGGAGCAGTCAGGAGGCAGATCTTGGCTCTCAGCTCCATGCTGTCAGCCCCTCTGGATGCTTCCGAAGGGAAATGAGGGCTGAATGGATTTTTAGAGAACACTGGCCCTCCTCTTTTTTTGTTGTTGGGTGAAAGAATTAATTATTCCTCCTGATTTCTGCTGGGCTGGAGGGACCTGTCATCCCTGGTCATGCTTTGAACCTTCCTTTGCACATATCTTGGTGTGGCTGAATGAGAAAATATGTCTGGATGATCTGGAATTTTTGGTGTCTCCTTATTCCTCACCTTCAGCCTTATTTTACTCATCACCTGGGGTTGAAGACGTGGATCAAACTGTAATGACTCCAGGTGTTCTGGGTTGTTGGGGTCTTGTAGACTCTCAGCTTTGCCCTAAAACTTTTTAGGTTCAGCCAGAGCCCAGACTGACTGACCACAGGTCCCTCTGCCCTCCCTTCCTGAGATAATTGATGTGAAATCCTCACTTTTTACCTCTGCTTTTCCTAAAAATGTCTTTTTCTCTCCTCACAAGCCCGCACCTAAACCAGGCAAGAACACAAAAGCCACAGACTTCTTTTAGGGTTGTTTTTCTGTACAAGTTTTATTTCTAGTTAAGCTCATCACTCCAGGCTGAGTCACAGCTCTCAGCTCGTCTGTTCCCAGCCCGAGGCCAGGCTGGGACAGCGGGATGGATATGGGATCCTGCAGGTTCTGTCCTGGATGGGCTACACAAACAGCATCTCCTGGTCGCAGGATGAGTCAGTCCCACAGCCCTCTGTGAGGGGAGAGAGGGGGGAGTGTGGTGGGAAACCAGACCCCCCAAAACAGTCCTCACAGATCTGTGAAGTGGCCCCCAGAAACCTCCCAAAACAGTCCCCAGAGACACCCCAAACTCTCCCCCCTGAAACAGCCCCCAGGGACCCCCCAAACCAGCACTCAGAGATCCTTGAAACAGCCCTTGGAGACCCCCCAAACCAGTGCCCAGAATTCCCTGAAACAGCCCTTGGGGACCCCCCAAACCAGTGCCCAAGGACCCCGTGGTTCTGGGGTTTAATGATCTCATGCTCCCACCATGTGCCCTGGCGTTTCCTGGGATTGGTAGTGGGATCTCTGGTAGTTTAATTTAGGGAGGAGGTTGGGATTTTTGGAAAACTCATGAAAGCAAGAAGGGCCACGGGTTGCTGTACCCCGCAGGAGTGCTGCCATGCCCCATGGGAATCCCACACTTGCTCAGCCCCCAAAATTAGGTTGCTGTCTGCTTCCCTCCTGCCCCAAAACCTCCCTGAAGGGTCTGATATCCCTTCCCTGGGATCAGAATAAAATCTGCCCGGAGCAGGGTGGCCCTGGCTTTTAGGGGCAATGAACTGACACATAGATGGGACCAAGACCATCCCCTTGGGCATCATCCCCTCTCCCACTGTCCTGTATAACCCCGAATTCCCTCCCAGGTGTGCGAGGATCCCGTGACGGGAATCCCGGGAGTTCCCAGGACTCACCGGTGCTGCAGCAGATGCCGGGGGCGGCGCAGCTCCCGCCGCTGCCGCAGGGTTTGTGTCCCGACTCGCAGGGGGTGGGCAGGAAGTTTTCCTCCTGGCAGCGCAGGGTCTCGGAGGTGCCGAGGTAACAGCCCAGCTCCTCCCCGCAGCAGATGTTGGGCCCGAAGCAGTGGCCCTTGTTCCGGGGGCCGCAGGGCAGGCACTGCTCGGGGGAGAGGGGAGGGGGAAGAAGGTTGGGAAGAAGGGAAGGATGGGGTTAGGGATGCTCCAAAACCGCCAGGACCTACCTTCCTGATTTCCATGTCCATGACGGCACGTTTGCCCCCGATGGGGCAGTTCTGGATGTAGCAAGCGGAGGAGAGAGCCAGGAGCCCCAGGAGGCAGAGGGCCAGAGCCTTGCAGGACATGACGGCGGCGGGACAGGGAGAGTTTTTTGGATGCTCGTCCCAACCACTGCCCGTGTATTTATAGTCCCCGCTCCTGCTTAGGGATTCTGGGCACCGGCGTCACCCGTGCTCCTTAAAAACCACAAGGCATTGCTTCCCACACCGGAGGGCTCGGTTAATAGCCAGAGGTCAAGGACGTGAGGGCAAGGCCAAGGTGTTGGTTTGCTCCTCGGTGACGGCTCCGACGGCGGCAGGGGGAACGTGTGGAGGCTGCCGATGGAGTTTGGGGCTCAGGGCCCTTCCCCGCCAGCCCTGCTGAGCTGTGGCATGTCTCTCCATGTCCTATTGGGAGCCCCTCTGGCATGGGGAGGGTAGGGATGAAGGAAGGCAGCTGCAGGTGGGATGTGTCCACTCAGGAGCAGGGTCAGAGGGGCATGTGCTTCCCTTGGCTTCAAATCCCTTCAGGTGGGTAAAAAGTGAACCCATATCCTCCTCTGGGATCATCCACGAGATGTGGGGTGGGAAATGCCCTTGTTGGTCCTGTCCACTCACCCCTGCCTGGCCTTTGGGGGATGCTCAGCACTGGGCTCATCCAGCTCTGGGACGATGGTGACACCCAGCCCATCCCCACCCACCCAACAGCACCACAGCCACTTGAAAACACCAGACCTCCTGGGCAAAGACCTGAAATCCCAAACTTCCCCATTGTTTCTCCTTGGAGCTGCGCATGGGGATGGGATGTGGTGTCCTGAACCATACCATCAGCACACGAAGGCTTCCCGAGGATGAGACTGAGGACTGACGCAACCGCCCAGGGTCCTGCTTGCCCCAGCCCCTCACCTTTGTTATCCCAATTAGGAGCTTTCCCAGCTTGAATAAATTTCCCTGCTGTGGACAACACTTTCTGTCCATCGAGATCATTACCCTGCACTGGCTTAATTTGGAATTAGGCAGCCCAGAGCCCGACAGCCGTGACCTTTTCCCATCCCTCTGGCTTTGCTTCCAAATCCGCCACTTAGCGCGTCCGGCATGAGGGCAGCCAGGTCCCCATCACCCACCCAGGGTCAGTCCTGCTCCCTGGGGACAAGCCAGGCACTGGGATCCATGTTAATGGGTTGGAAATGGGGCTCAGCACCTGCTGTGTGCTGTCCCAGCAGCTCAGCTCCAGCTGCGGCACGAGGTGGAGGGGGGGAATTGCCATCCTGGAGCTCCTATGGCTGCTCGGGGGGTTCCCAGACCCTCACAAGATGTGTACTGGGAAGACAAGTGGGGAAAAAACCCACCAATTATCAGCCCTTGGTGCTTTCGGGGACTCAGCACCCTGATTTTGAGGCTTCCATCAGCTGGAGCATCATCCTGGCTCAGCCACATGTCCCCGGTGCTTCAGGAATGTTGGGGTTCACATCCCGCATCTGGGAACAGTCTGAGTGCCAGGGCAGGGCTGAACAGCCCAATTCCTTCATCTCAGCATGGAGCCCCCTGTCTATGCTGGTGTGGCCCCTTTTCCAATGATTTTGGGGTGATTTGGGGTTGCCCACATCCCCAGGGCTGGGATGAGGTGCTGGCTGCAGGGAGCAGGGGCTGGATCAATCCTGCACCCCCTGCACGGTGCTGGGAGCTGGCAGGATGGATCCCACCGGTGTCAGGGAGCTCCACCTCCTCGGAGGTGCCACCTCCCTCGGGGACACTATAAAGGACCAGCTGTCCCCTGTGCTCTGGCCAGTCCCAGCCAGGAGAGAGCTCGGAGCGGGGACCCCAATGGGTAAGAGACCTGGGAGAGGGTGGGGAGGGGGTTGGGATAACAGTACCCCAAATCTGAGGGGGTGACAGTGGGATAACGGGGAGACTGATCCTGCCTGTCGGTGTCCAGAGGGGACCAGTTTGGTGAGCGATGGTGGGGAAAGATGTCACCAGCCCAAGGGGGTATTTGGAGCTGGGAGCCCAAACCTTTCTGTTCTGGGGGGGGGGTTGGGTGCTTTTCCTTGCTTTTTATCATTTTCTAGTAGATGATGTGCTGGTTCCTGAAGGCAACAAGACCCCGAGTCTGCCCCAAAGAGGGACTTGGCCAAGAGGTAACATGATGGTGGCACATCGCAGACATCCCCAGTCTCCCGGGGCTGGGGGTGCTGGGAGGCTGAGCACCCTTGGGTGCTGCTGGGGGTCCTGGGAGGGACTTGACAGCCAGATCCCAAAGTCCAGCTCTGCCTGAGCGCTCCTGCTGCAAGAACGAGGCCAAATCCTGCACCCAGCTCAGCTAAACCACTGCAGATGGGAGCCAAACCACCCGTTCTCCTCGGGGATTTGGGGAAGGGGGATGAAACCCCTCCACAACACCCCCATCCTTGATCC